GAGAACCAGTATCTGCATTGTGTGGGTGTATGAGAACCAGTATCATCATTGTGTGGGTGTATGAGAACCAGTATCTGCATTGTGTGGGTGTATGAGAACCAGTATCTGCATTGTGTGGGTGTATGAGAACCAGTATCTGCATTGTGTGGGTGTATGAGAACCAGTATCTGCATTGTGTGGGTGTATGAGAACCAGTATCTGCATTGTGTGGGTGTATGAGAACCAGTATCTGCATTGTGTGGGTGTATGAGAACCAGTATCTGCATTGTGTGGGTGTATGAGAACCGGTATCTGAATTGTGTGGGTGTATGAGAACCAGTATCATCATTGTGTGGGTGTATGAGAACCAGTATCTGCATTGTGTGGGTGTATGAGAACCGGTATCTGCATTGTGTGGGTGTATGAGAACCAGTATCTGCATTGTGTGGGTGTATGAGAACCAGTATCTGCATTGTGTGGGTGTATGAGAACCAGTATCTGCATTGTGTGGGTGTGTATGAGAACCAGTATCTGCATTGTGTGGGTGTATGAGAACCAGTATCATCATTGTGTGGGTGTATGAGAACCGGTATCAGTATCTGCATTGTGTGGGTGTATGAGAACCAGTATCTGCATTGTGTGGGTGTATGAGAACCAGTATCTGCATTGTGTGGGTGTATGAGAACCAGTATCTGCATTGTGTGGGTGTGTGAGAACCAGTATCTGCATATGTGTGGGTGTATGAGAACCAGTATCTGCATTGTGTGGGTGTGTGAGAACCAGTATCTGCATTGTGTGGGTGTATGAGAACCAGTATCTGCATTGTGTGGGTGTATGAGAACCGGTATCTGCACTGTGTGGGTGTATGAGAACCAGTATCTGCATTGTGTGGGTGTATGAGAACCGGTATCTGCAATGTGTGGGTGTATGAGAACTAGTGGTGGTCCGATTAATTGAAATAATCGAAGATTGGTCGCTGTGCCTAAACGACCAAGTAATCGATTGTGTTTTCTCATAATCGAACACAACCAATTTTGGAACACTTGTTTGCATCAACAATATTTTACACAAGGTTGGTTTTGTCTGTGTCATTAAATTTACATTTCATAAGCACTACAAACTCGTTCCAAGTCATGGTTGAATTCATCTTAAAGAATCCAGGAAATCTGTGTTCCTAACATACTAATCATCCTTTAAATATGCGAAATTTGCCAATGGATTTTGTGCAATTTGCAAAAGACCCAAATTACTACATGTTTTTGCTTTATTTTTGTGTGTGCATGAACAAAGATAACAGGAACATTTGATATTATGAGATTTTAACCAATTCCCAACACTAATGAGAACCAGTATCTGCATAGTGTTGGGTTTTTGCGACCTAGGTTTACTTTGTACTTTGTACTTTGCGCGTGTGTGGGTAGTGTTGTTGTCCTGAGCGAGAGAGAGGTTGTTTGGGTGTTGGTTCTGTATGAGGAGGGTTGCTTCATGTTGATAGTTCTGAATTGAGTGACTTTGAGATGGGATAGTGTTTGCTATGTCGATATATTGTTGAATGTCTGTTTGTGTGTTCCGTGAGTCTAAGTGGATTAGCCCCTGTATGAATGTCTGCCAGTGTTTGGGGGTGTTGGTTAGTGGTGTTCCGATGATCGAAAATAATCAAACATCAATCGAAAGGATTAAAAATATCGATCGAAAAAACATATTTTCGATTAATCGGAATTTGGTTGTTTTAGCATAACGTATCATTCAATTTGACGAATATTCACCAACAAACGTGCGCTCAACAGTGTAAAACCATAACATTGTATACATAGTTTCGTATTCATCACTACGATAAATTACTGTAACCTGTCTATGAAGAGGTTTTGCATCTATTATGAACGTAATGAGATATACTGATAAATATTTGTTGCATAAATAAAGAGAATAATTACATTAACATTAATTAGAAAAAAATTGGGGAAACCCTTAGAATTGGTGTTTACATTAAAAATGTTCGCGTTGTTTTTTTGCTTGAGGGGTTTCATTTGGGGAGATGTGTGGGCGTTTTATGGGTTTGGTGGCAGAGATTTTGTTGGTGGTTGTTGGTTGGCAAGGGGAGGGAAGAGGTGAGGTTGGTTGTGTTTATAGGATGGAGTCAATGTCCATGCCAAAGTTTATAGGGATTGGGTTTATGTTGTTTGGGGGAGTGAGGCATGGGGAGTGTTTGGTTGGGGTGGAAGAGGACCGAGTTTAGTTTATCACCACACTCGGCAGTATTCCAGCTAGATGGCAGCGGTCTGTAAATAATCGCGTCTGGACCAGACAATCCAGTAATCAACAGCATGAGCATCGATCTGCGCAATTGGGAACCGATGACATGTTGAGTTGAGTTGGGCTTTACGTCACATCGGCATTATTCCAGCCATATAGTGACAAGAACAAGTCTGCATTAATATACATTGTAAGTACAAAGTGGTTTCATTTCAAAGACACACATTCATTACATTGTCAGTTAAGGAACAGAATGTCATAGCACTAAATTGAAAAACAGGTAAATTCGTTAGTGACATTTCACAGTTACAATTTATGATATAGATCAACTTCCCTAAGGTAGTTCAGTATCAGATGAGCGCTCACGCCTGAGAACAGATCTTTCAGATGTCAGCGCGCCTGACCACCCGATCCCGTTAGTCGCCTCTAACGACAGGCCAATATTCTAACCCGGACCCTCACGGTGTAATCCCAGATATAACATGTTGCATTCAATAATGAAGGAAAACATTTGTTGTGAATGAAGGTCTGTGTAGGTTGTAATTTAAATCATAAGAATAACTACAAAATGCTAGTATATGTTCTTTACCCTGTTGAATATACCGGTTCTCAAAAAACAAATTTGCAATACGTATCGTATGAAAAGCATAATTCGATATACTGGTATATTGGTAATACTGTGCAGTCCTAGTATACTGATGACAATATTGGAGCTAAATGGAACAATAATCATATATTCATTGCTTTTAACCAATTTTAAACAATGGCGTATATAATCTGGCTGCACACCGATTTGCAAGACATCTATTCAGTTTTTTTGTTTTGACAGGATATGAGTGATTGAGTGAGTTTAGTTTTACGCCGCACTCAGTAATATAACAGCTATATGGCGGCGGTCTGTAAATAATCGAGTCTGGACCAGACAATCCAGCGATCAACAGCATGAGCATCGATCTGCGCAAATTGGAACCGATGAGATCCCGTTAGTCGCCTCTTACGACAAGCATGGGTTACTGAAGGCACATTCTAGGGGGCGGTGGGGTAGCCTAGTGGTTAAAGCGTTGGCTCGTCACGTCGAAGACCCGGGTTCGATTCCCCACTTGGGCACAATGTGTTAAGCCCATTTCTGGTGTCCCCGCCGTGATATTACTGGAATATTGCTAAAAGCGGCGTAAAACTAAACTCAGTCAGTCATTCTAACCCGGACCTTCACGGGTTGACAGGATATGAACCAGTCATGGCCCTTAGATATGTAGCATCAGTAAACTTATGGATATTAATCAGCTGAATACAATTCATTGCGAGGCTATAGAGAGGATCAATATACATCACGTCATTGGTATTTTCCATACTGCACCTTGAAAATCACTTCGCTAAGCTGTATATATGCCGAAAGGCAAAAGAAACGTCGTATTATTGGAAATGACTTTTAAGTTTCAATGAAGTATTTGAACCTATTTTCTTAAATATACAGGTAGTCAAGTTTGAGAAAAACATGAATCGTTGTCGTATAGCCCGTTTTGCCCGACAAAGTATTGTTTGAGATCGAGATTAGAAATGCTTTTGTTTGTGGAAAGGGAAGAGTCCGCACATATGCAACATTGAAATAGAGAAGCACATGCATCGTGCATGCATTCAGGCATAAATTGTCGGCTTGAATGTCAGTCATTCATTTGTTTTCTGAACACTACAGCTATGGCGAGGTTAACGAGAGATCAACGACAACAAGTCATTGGACGTCTACACACTGGCAAATGTGCTCAAGTCATTGCTGATGACTTTAATTGCAGCGTAAGAAAGATAGAACGTCTCAGACAGCGATAAAGCGCTCCCATCAGCACTGATGACGGTCCACGCAGTGGTTGACCCTGTTTAACAACACGTTGCTGGGACCGTCATATCGTCCATGCAAGACTGACTCGCAAGGGCCACAGAAAAGCTCGGAAGACCATAGAAAACCACAGGCGACCTGTCAGTGACCGAACCATTCGGCGACATCTCCAAGCCAGGAACCTGTTTTGTCGACGTCCTGCCAGGAGACCCAATTTTCAACCGACGTCACTGCCGGGAACATTTCCAGTGGGCACAACAGCGGTAAAACTGGCGTTGGAGACAATGGAGAGGGGTTACCTTCTCTGGTGAAAGTTGGTCCTGCATTTCAGTGGCGTAGTTTCTTTTTAAAAAATAGGCTTAAATACACTGACACTTTCTCAAACTTGACTACCTGTATATTTAAGAAAATAGTTTCAAATACTTCATTGATACTTAAATGCCATTTCCAATATTACGACGTTTCTTTTGCCTTTCAGTATATTATGTTCTGTGTTGGAAGACATTTGTACATTATCAGGTTTGTGATCGTGCTATGTGTCATACCATCATATTGTGAATAGTCCCTATTCCAGGTCTTATAAGCGTGTGACGACGTTTTTTTATGTTTTCAGTAAACACCATAACATCAATTGGTAAATGATGGAAGCAATCCACAAGATCCTTTTTTCTGTCACCGAAAGAAATGGAATCTGTTAAAGCGGTTTGTTGGAAACAGGAGACCACTTCATAAAACATTTTTATTGATACCTTGGAAATAGGTGATCTCAAGAAAGAACCCATAATTTCAAACCTGGAAACTGGTGATCTGATGAAAGAACCCATTATTGGAACCCTGGAAAACCAGTGATCTCAAGAGGGAACATGTGATTGGAACCCTGGGAACTGGTGATCTCATGAAAGAAATCATTATTGGAAACCTGGAAACCGGTGATCTCAATAAAGAGCATGTTATTGGAACCCAAGAAACAGATGGTTTGAAATCATGAAAAACATAGTGGTCCAACAAAGCACTATCATATACATGTGTGAGAGCTCGGAAACATTTTCTAAATCAGGTGACTCGAGAAGGCCAATGCTCTGTCACAGTGGAATCAAGACTTATGAGTGTGCTGAATATCAAAAAACATTCACACTGTCAGATAATCTTCAGACACACATGAAGATTCCTAGTGGAATCAAGCCTCATAAGTGCATTGTGTGTGAGAAAACATTTACACAATCATATGACCTTCAGACACACATGAACATTCACGGAGGAATCAAGCATCATGAATGTGTTAAATGTGGGAAAAAATATACCTACTCAAGTAATCTTCAGAAACACATGAAAATTCACAATGGGATCAAACCTCATCAGTGCATTGTGTGTGAGAAAAGATTTACACAATCGTGGTACCTTCAGACACACATGAGGATTCACACTGGAATCAAGCCTCACGGATGTGCTGAATGTGGGAAAAGATTTACACATTCCACTAGTCTGAAGGTACACATGAGGATTCACAGTGGGATCAAACCTTATCAGTGCATTGTGTGTGGGAAAACATTTACAGTATCGAGTAGCCTGCACAAACACATGAATATTCACAGTGGGATCAAGCCTTATGAATGTGTTGAATGTGGGAAAAAATTTCCACTTTCCTATAGTCTGCAGGTACACATGAGGATTCACAGTGGGATCAAACCTTATCAGTGCATTGTGTGTGGGAAAACATTTACAATATCGGGTAGCCTGCAGAAACACATGAGGATTCACAGTGGAATCAAGCCTTATGAATGTGTTGATTGTGGGAAAACATTTACGAATTCAAGTAATCTGCAGACACACATAAATGTTCACAATGGAATCAAGCCTTATGAATGTGTTGATTGTGGGAAAACATTTACGAATTCAAGTAATCTGCAGACACACATAAAGATTCACAATGGAATCAAGCCCTATGAATGTGTTGAATGTGGGAAAAAGTTTACATATTCAAGTTATCTTAAGAGACATATGAAGATTCACAGTGGAATCAAGCCCCATCGGTGCATTGTGTGTGAGAAAACATTTACACAATCATATGACCTCCAGGCACACATGAGGATTCACAGTGGACTCAAGCCTTATGAATGTGTTGTATGTGAGAAAACATTTACACAACCAAGTAAACTTCAGCAACACATGAATATTCACAGTGGAATCAAGCCTTATGAATGTGTTGAATGTGGGAAAAAATTTACACATTCAAGTTATCTTCCGAAACACATGAGGATTCACAGTGGACTCAAGCCTTATAAATGTGTTGAATGTGGGAAAACATTTACACAATCAACTACTCTGCAGGTACACAGGAGGATTCATAGTGAAATCAAGCCTTATGAATGTATTGTATGTGAGAAAACATTTACAAAACGAAGTCACCTTCAGCAACACATGAATATTCACAGTGGAATGAAGCCTCATGAATGTGTTGAATGTGGGAAAAGATTTACGGATCCAAGTAGTCTGCGGACACACATGAAGCTTCACAATGAAACCAAACTTCATCAATGCATTGTGTGTGAAAAAACATTTACACAATCACGTTACCTCAAGAAACACATGAGGATTCACAGTGGAATCAAATGTCATTAGTGCATTGTATGTGGGAAAACATTTTATCAGTCAGGTAACCCTTAGACATACATGACAATTCACAGTGGAATCGGGTCTTATGAATGTGCTGAATGTGTGAAAATTTTACACATTCCAGTAGTCTGCTGACACGCCTGGCGATTTACAGTGGAATCAAACTTGTTTGAGTGTGTTGGACTTGGGAAACAATTGACAAAATCACGTCATCTGCAGACACACGTGAGGATTCACAGTGAAATCAAGTCTTATGAATGATTTGCATGTGGGGAAAAACTTAGACAGTCAAGTAGTCTGCAGAAACACGTGAAGATTCACATCGGGATCAAGCCTCATAGTGCATTGTGTGTGTGAAAGCATTTACACAATCAGGTGACCTTCAGGCATACATGAGGATTCACAGTGGAATCAAGCCTTATGAATGTGTTGGATATGGATAACAGTTTACACAATCAGGTCATATGCAGACACACGAGGATTGACAGTGGTAGCAAGCCCTATGAATGTTTTGAATGTTGTAATGATTTAACAATTTTTTAAATCTTATCCTATCTCACTGTTTCTCTAATGATCGACAGCTGAGTGAAAAAACTGGAAACAAGGTTTTCGGTCTCTCATGTACTGTTCGCACGAACATGCCCCAGTGCTCCCATTCTCGGGCGTCCACAGTCCCTGTAAAATACGCATCATGCCCTCCGGCATATCATGCGACACATTAATCTGATCATTCTCTTTCTGGTTTAGCTGATGAGCTGACATTTTGGAAATTTGAAGTGAATGTTGTATGATTCTTTCTACTATGGGAAGAGGAAACTTGCCATCAATGCCAAATGGTTTACTCAAAATCTAGAAAGACGTCTGTGGAAAAAGCCCAGCGTACTTCATCTTCATTGACGGATCATGAAAACACCCCATCGGATTGTTATCTTAGCCAGAACTTACGATTTATTTCATGTGTACATTTGGTATTCAATCAAAATATTTAAACTTCCGGAATTCAAAACAAGGCTTAAAACTCTACACTTTGCTAGTACGTCTACTTGCATACAAACTGTAATATGATTCGCTGTAAGGAGCTTGTGTAACGAATCTGCTTCGTTCTACGAAACCTCAACATTCGTCAAACCTCTCACATGCGGCGATCTCTTCAACTTTCGACAGTGAACTCTGCTCATCTGATGAACCCACCTGGTTCTACTGCTGCTTGGGATGACTTCCCTCCAACGCAGTCCCTCATACATCGCACTCTATTTTACCTGTCTTGTGGGATACTCAGGAAGATGCTCATACGCATCCTTCATTGGACTTTGAAGTAATGGTCTGGGCTGTGGATTCTACCTCTTCTTTGTCCCTTTCTGAAGGCCGATGATCCACATCTATTGATCCACCTACCTCCGTCGCTCCACCCATACTTTTGTTGGTGGCTCGACGTGTTGAACGTCTGCAGAGGAGTTTATTTTGCGCCGTTCATCCCTACTTATCACCTGTTCACGGTAGCGTCACTTCGAGGGAAGGGAACTCACATTCGCGAGTACCAAGTGTCAGGGCTGTGGCCTCAAGAGGAGCAGTCCCTGCATGTCAATGAACTCTGGGAGCAGGAGCTGCGATCGACCAGTCTGCTCATCCAGTCCGACAACTCAACCGCCGTTTAGTACATCAAACAACTGGGGTCGACAAGGTCCACTCGTCTCTTGGGTTGGATGATGCTCCTTTTTCAGCTGGAAATGTCGGCAAGAACCAGACACATTCCCGGGATAAAGTATGGCATCGCCGATGTTTCGTCTCGGCCAGACCGGCCGTCTCCGACTGAATGGATGCTTCATCCACAGGTCTTCAGGTTGGCTTGTCTCCCGAGCTCTTATTCCCAAGGCGACCACTTCGCAACCAGATTCAACAATGTACTTCCCAGGTTCGTCTCACCAGTCTAAGACTCACTGGCGTCGGGTCAGGATGCTCTGGTCGTATCTTGGGAATGGGCGATGGGGTAGTCTAGTGGTTAAAGCGTTGGCTCGTCACGACGAAGACCCGGGTTCGATTCCCCACATGGGTACAATGAGTGAAGCCCATTTCTGGTGTCCCCAGCCGTGATATTGCTGGAATATTGCTAAAAGCGGCGTAAAACCAAACTCAGTCAGTCAGTCAGTATCTTGGGAATGTGCATGACCCTACTGGCCGGCGCACAGCTGGTTTATCGACCCGTTACGTCTCACTGAACCACAGCCAATTGCTTCTGCCCATTGTACTTCCAGTCGATCTCTGCATGACAACAAGTGGAGAAAATTCAAGACTAACTGCCAGACGCATAACATTTCGCCTCTCACTACAGCCTCAGTGCAGTCTCTTGCTGAATACATTTGCAGCTGTCTAAGAAGCTTAAAAGCATCCACCCTTTGTACGTACCTCGCTGCTGATACAGTAATACCTACTAGTACTGGTACCAAGATTCCTATGGTTCCAGAGCTCCAGTCCCTGTTGCGTTCCTACGAACTGGCAGATCAGCCTTGGAAATTCTGTCGCCTGGCTTGGGATTTGTCAATCTTCTTACGACATCTGGCCCCTATTTCTCGAAACAAACTTAAGTTTTTCTCAAAATTCAAACTGAGTTTGACAATTTGAAAGAGCTGAATTTTTAACTCAGCTGCATTTTTTAAATAAAAAAGCCCAAACAACTTAAGTAATCTATCCACCAAACTCAAATTGTCTACTAAGTTTGAGTTTAATATTTATTTGAGTTTATTCTGGAAAATGCATTTCCTGCGTTTTCTCAAATTTGAGTAAAAACTCTGACTTAAGTCAAAACTCAGACTTAAGTTTGTTTCGAGAAATCGGGGCCTGGTCTCTGATGATTATGACCCTTCCTGGCGGCGTTTGCCATGCCTGCTCGTATGTCGGAGCTCCATGGTCTCGATGTCAACCAAATACGATTTGAGAAGGGGACACATGGGTTTTCCTGGGTCTTCGCTTGGATTTCATTGTGAAGAATCAACTGCCTGGTCAACCGGATCGACTTTTCACCATCCCACCATTTATCTACCATACTGGGACCAGATGACACTGAGAACCTTTCGTTTTGCCCAGTCAGAGCTCGGAAAATCTACTTTGCAGCTTCACAAAACCGGCATAAGCAGCTTTTTATCTAACTGTTTACGGTCTCGTCTGCGGAATGACTTTAAATGAGCAAATGAAGTTCGTTAGAGTGAGTTTTTGCTGCACTCAGCAATATTCCAGCTATATGACGGTGGTCTGTAAGTAATCGAGTATTGACCAGACAATCCAGTGATCAACTGCATGAACATCGATCTGCGCAATTGGAAACCGTGAAGTTGGTTAGAACTCCATTCCTTATCTTACATTTACCCATTCTTACTGACCTCTACTCTTGCGAGCAATTACGTCAGTGAAGTGTGAATACCGTTCCAGTGGATTTCAATGTGTCCCCACATAGTTGACTAAGTTTTTGTGAAGGAGTGAGGGTCATTCGATGTCGTTTTGAACTGGACATTAAACCAGTTCAGCGTACCGGGCCATGTTTCACTTTTCAACTTTGGCCGTAAACTTGGGCTTGGTTTCAAAGGAGGGATTTGCCGAGATTAGGGTGGCAACAGCCTTTTCTGATTGGGTTTTTCTGGTATACAGAGCATGAGCTCTGTCCCTTTGCCTTGAACAAAAGTTGAGGCGGAAAACCACATTTACTCGGTAGCGCCCACTCCCTGAGAGTTGCTGTGCGAAGTAGGCTAAGGGAATTGGAAGAATCAACCCATCACAAGTATAGAAGTTATGTAGTCAGTCAAAGATTGCACTCGTAACGGGCGTCCTATTGTTGTTCTATCTGTCATTGTTGAGTCGTCTCCTGTCCATTGTTGTCAAGAACTGTATATGTATGCTCACATCTATATTGTCAAAAGAGAGTACGAGTCCAGTATTCCGACTGTCTGTGTTGGGACGACCACGAGCAGGATAATGCCGCTCGTAGGAAATGCCCTGGGGTTTGGTAGGTACTTCGCTCACCTCATTTATGTCTTGTGTATTTGTTTGTCATGTAACTAAAGAAGTTTGAACTCAACTGTCCCTTCGTCTTGTCAACGTATCGTTCTCCATGTTCTATCTGTCATTGTTGAGTCGTCTCCTGTCCATTGTTGTCAAGAACTGTATATGTATGCTCACATCTATATTGTCAAAAGAGAGTACGAGTCCGGTATTCCGACTGTCTGTGTTGGGACGACCACGAGCTGGATAATGCCGCTCGTAGGAAATGCCCTGGGGTTGGGTAGGTACTCCGCTCACCTCATTTATGTCTAGTGTATTTGTTTGTCATGTAACTAAAGAAGTTTGAACTCAACTGTCCCTTCGTCTTGTCAACGTATTGTTCGTCTTAATTATGAGCTAATTCCCCAGTCGACACGTATCTACGCGTTGACAATTTGGTGTTAGAATCCGGCTGGAGTAAATTTTAGCTTACTCCCAATTCTGAAACCTTTCTATGTGCCTACCATAAACATTGTGTATCAAGGATGATTCCCCAAGTTCTACGCCTACTTGAAGAGATTACAAGCGTCTTGATCAACATGGATCCTCAACGCCGCCATCTTGAATGGAGCATCATGCAGCAACCATCTGATGGACAACCTACAAGTTAAGGATGAAACACCCAGATACCACAGTCCAAGCAAGTACATGTGTCTCTCCCACAGAGATCTGATCACAGCCATCAATATGGAGATCATGTATTCATACAGAAACTACCCCAAGGACATCGTCAAGATGGAGATAGTGTACAAGACAGCTCATCACTTTGTACTTATTTATGTGTACTTAAATGGACTCAGTTCAGGATATACAATGTGATAATTGTTGATAAGTGCAACCAGCTATGTTCAATCACATATCAGTACATCAATACTTTCTCATTCCTATACCATAATGTATTTTTGCATCTGAACCATGTGCTCCAAATTACTTCTGTAGAATGAAGTCAGAATATGGATATTCTTGGGTCAAGCCTCCCACAGACACACATGTATATTATGTGTCAGTATTAAGACGTTAACAGCGAAGCAATATTCAGCATTTTAGAGTTTTGACGTCATAGTAGGATTATCTATTGTTGTCTTTCATTGAGCATAGCAGCCGCAATATATGGGCAAGCTCTGTCAACGACACAGGAATAGCACCCATTGTAGGATTATTATTTCTTTATTGGTTATAGCACCCACATTATATGGGCAAGCTCCGTCACAGACACGGGAAGAGTACACATCATGCTTAAAAGGGCAACAGTACCCACAAGTACCGTTTGAGTTGCGCGGTAAAGTTAGATTCCTGGTTTCAAATTTCTTAATGCGGAATAGTTTCTGAGATGTTTAATGTGTACCTTTTATGACGCTAATTATTGTCATTGTTTGGTACTGAGCCTCAACTCCTGATTTCAAGGATCTTTTTCTGAAATATTTATTGAATCTGTCCAATGTAGTAAATACCTGGATGTGAAATGTACATTACAACGATCATTTGATTATTTTTCTGATAAGTCAGACTGGCAAGATTATCACTCTCATACCATTATTGCATAGATGTATTTGTTACGAGAGATGTCAACTACATCAAGAATTGTTGTTCGATGATTCGCACTGTTGGTATTTATATAGCTTCACACCTATCAGTTCGGACATAATTCATTTAAGCTTGGTGTCCAAACTTTACTGAGCAGAAGGAAGTTGTTAAAGGGTTTAATTCAGGACAGCCATAGTCCCAATATTTAAAAAGTAAAAACTATGTAGTCAAGACATATGAGACTTTATTGTAATTATTTATATGATGCTAATCTGTATTCCATGTAATCCTTAGCACTTCCGCATTGTATATTGACTTTTCAGGCAATTAATTACTGTATATGACATTTATAACCTTTATTGGTCATTCCCCTTGTGAAATTTATAACCTAATTGGTCATTCAAGTATAGAAGTTATGTAGTCAGTCAAAGATTGCACTCGTAACGGTTTTTCTATCTGTCCATTGTTGAGTCGTCACCTGTCCATTGTTGTCAAGAACTGTATATGTATGCTCACATCTATATTGTCAAAAGGGAGTACGAGTCTGGTATTCCGACTGTCTGTGTTGGGACGACCACGAGCTGGATAATGCCGCTCGTAGGATATGCCCTGGGGTTGAGTGGGTACTCCGCTCACCTCATTTATGTCTAGTGTATTTGTTTGTCATGTAACTAAAGAAGTTTGAACTCAACAATTCCTTCGTCTTGTCAACGTATTGTTCATCTTAATTATGAGCTAATTCTCCAGTCAACCATATACCAAGTGTTGACAGTACCATCACCACATCACACGACTCTTCTATAAGCTGCATTCACCAAGGCGATTGGGTGATCTGCACCCACAGTCCGACTGTGGGATAAGTACAAACCGTGTAAGTACAAAACTATAGTCGGTTTGGCTAAAAATCGGACCGATGAATTGCAATATAACTCGAAAACTACTAAACAAATAGCACTCAATGAAACACTGATCATCATCAAAACATCAGACCAACTCTGTGATTTTTTTGCAGAATTTCTGTCCTAAAAATAAAAAAAGTTGTTGAACAAACTATCATTAAAATCTTGACACAGTTCACTAATTTCACGGGTTAATGAATCAA